AGGAAAGGTATATTCTGGGTCAACTTAAGGAATACCTTAAAACAGAGAATGGCCATCTATTTAAAATAAAAGGATAGCATCTAACCTGACAACTACCTTAGCATCAGGTAATTATCATCATATTGTTTTTGATCTACTTGATCTCCAGTTCTAAACAAAAAGTTCAATGAGCTTTTATGTTTGTTGGTGGCTGGTGCTGAGGGGGTTATACACAAGAATACACTGCCATACTCAATTTATAGGTGGAAATTTCAGCATAAATTGTACATGATTGAGAACTAACATGAAACAATTAAAAAAGACTTGACTACAGAGGTTAGTTCTCAGCTGTGATGAAACCTATGGCAACAACGTAGATAAGGAAAGACTTCCTACTGACCATAGTTGAGGGTACAACCATGATGGTGGGGAGTGTTCCCAACAGGGACAGCTCAGCTGGCAACAGGTGCACTAGGAAGCAGGGATAGGAAATGCTAGCCCTCTGTTAGCTTCCTTCTTTCCTAATTTTCCTCAGCTAACCCCAGCACATTCAGAGAAGTTATCTCTTGATTCTGTCAGCAACACTTTCACAGACATACCCAGAAGCATGTCTCCTTGGTCATTTATATCCAACCAAGCTGAAAATGAAAGTTAACCAGCATGACCACTGAGTTATTTGAATGAACTGTAAACAGAAGGAAAATTATCAGAAAATTGTCTATAGAAGAAAAACAATAACTTGAAATAACCTAAATTCCATGTTTAAATACTTTCTTTCCACAATGTTTAGTAATGACAAATAGTTGAGAAAGACACAAATTTATAATCTACTAACTTTATATGTGGAAGTCTTTCAAAAATAATTTTTTTGCTTAGTTAAACAACAGAGATCTATTATTCGATTGTATATGTAACAGAATGTCATCTATATTTGCTTATTAGGTAACAAAACATTTCTTATTTGATAAATTCATAAACAGATAAAATGAATTATAAGCATAAAATATTTAAGTTAAATAAGTGTCTTAGTGAGTGTTCTATTGCTGTGAAGAAACTTCACAACCATTCCTAATTTATTTCACACTATTATCAACATCACAATCATGGGGACCCAAGGCAACCATTGGGGAAAGCATGGTAGCCTGAAGGCAGGTATGGTGCTAGAGAAGTAGCTGAGAGTTCTACATCTGGATCCACAGACAGCAGCCAGACAGAGAGAGAGAGAGAGAGAGAGAGAGAGAGAGAGAGAGAGAGAGAACAAAGAGAGGAGACAGAGAGAGAACCGGAACCAACTGGGCCTAAATTAAGCTTCTGAAATCTCACCCCTGTGACATACTTCCTCCAACAAGGCCACACCTCCTAATCCTTCTAAGTGGTAATATTCCCTGATGATTAAGTATTCAGATATATGAGCTTATTGGGATCAGTTTTATTCAGACTACTGTAGACAGTTACATAGCAAGTAAGCCTTCTCAACTAGTGCCACTCCCTCCTGACCAATCACTCAAATATATGAGCCAATGGGGGCCATTGCTATTGAATCCACCACAATAACTGTAAAATGGCATAACACATTAAATCTATTTTTATCCATCTAAAAAGGCATCTATGAGCTGCTCACAAGAGTACTGTGCAATTGATTTTCATGTCTAAATAATTTTGAGCTGTTCTGAATTTCAATCGCATTTGCATTTTTAAATATATGCACCTGTATTCTATATAATATATTCCAAATTTATGTATGTATGTGTTCACTTTTCCCTCTCCAACAATTAAATATACATAAAATACTATGTAAGGCTGACAAGATGGCTCAATGAATGTCCAGCCTGACAGCCTGAGTTCCAAACCCAGAACACACATGGTAGAAGGAGAGAACTGACTCTTACAAATTGTCTTCTGATCTCCACACATGCACACAGCCCCTCACCCCACAAAATAAACAAATATAAAAAAATGCAATGTAATTATTCCCAACATGATAAAATTGTACTAAATGTCATATGAATAACAAATAAATAACAAAACATGGTGCTGTTTTCTGATAATATGCTACCTATTTTTATTGTAAGAATTCATATTAGTTTTCAGTAATATTTAGTACTTAATTTTTACTAAAAAATAACCATGTATATAATTAGATCATTAAAATTAAAAACTGGACCAGTATGAAATGTTGACTTTTCAAAGCCATTGCTGGTCTGGAAGGATGGCTTAGCAGTGGCCAGTGCTAGCTGCTCTCCCAGATAGCCTGAGGCTGGTTTTCAGCACCTAAGGCCTGTGACTCACCATGGCCTGTATTTCCAGCTCCAAAGGATATGACACCCTCTTCTGGCCTACACAGACACTTCACTGACATGCATAAACACACATACACATAAATAATAATAAAAATAAAATCTTTAAAGCCACTACAAATTAATTAAATATCATCATTAAAATGTATGTTTTCTTGTTGAGCTCCTGAGCCAACATCAGTCAATTCTTAGGAAGAAAGTATAAGGAAGGAGAATTAAGAGATTTACTCGCTACAAGTTAATCTTTAAAACGATGTAATATATGTGTATCCATTACCCATACTCAGTGAGCCCTAAGTAATCAGAGCAGAAAATGAATGACTTAATTCTTGTCCTCCACATAAAATGAAAATTACTCTATGTAAGACAAAACAATGGGGTTAGAAGGTAGCTCAGTTGGTAGAGTGCTTGTACGAAGTCCTGGTTTCAATACTCAGCACTAAATAAATTTGGCAAGGTGATATACGCTGTTATTCTAGCAATCCACTGGTGGAAGCAGAAAGATAAATAATTGCCATCTTTGGCTACATAAAAAACTTGAGGCCATCATAGGATACATAAAAGAAAAGAATAAAAAGAATAATACCAAAAAAAAAAAGAAAGAAAGAAAAGAAACCAAGTAACACTAAGTTTTGTGACAAAAAGAATTAATTAAAAAAATACCTCAAACCCATATAATAAAATTCCTAGTGTGTAAAAATACCATTTAAAAAAAATGGCAGGTAAAAATTTCACAAAAATGTGATACATATCTCCAGTTCTATGAGATTTAAAATAAACTGCTTAGTTTCAAGAACCTTATTTACATATATTTCCAATATGTATGATGCACAGATAGCAAATTCTAAAGAGAATGTAAATTCCGCAGTATATTACGATTCAACACTTCATTCTGAGTTTCACTATCCACACGCAAATGCCTAGAAACTATCATCCTTTTCTACCTTGACTGCTATGTTGCACTGAAGCCTTCATTTGCTTTGTTTTTCAAAGGTTGTATTGTATGGTTAAACACTGCCCTCTTCTGGTAACTGGAATTGTGAATCCACACAAAACTATGGCTGCAAAATTTCTCAACAGGTTATGTGCATTATTAGTTAATAAGTAAGTGTTTTTAGCCCAAATCAAGTAAACTTTTTCTCAAAACATAACCACAACAATAAGAAAGCTCATTGCCATTTTTTCAAATAAATATGCTATAAAAGGAGACTAAGCTAGGCAGTACAAATTCTGCCACTAACTAGAAACGATCTTGAACTAACTCTGTAACAACTCTAGACCTATTATACTATTATTTTATTAAGTCATTAATGGATTTCTTCAGCCTCAAACTTCATATGCTTCTAGATTTAGAAAAAAATACTTGTTTTTAATTCCCTAGGAAAAAAGGCACAATTTCTATTCCTCTGTGTTCAAACATTCTTTCCCTAAACAATGCACAGCACGAGTCTACAAAATTGTGAGGCAAAGTAAATTTGAGAAACTGAGAAGTTTTCAAGTATTTTATAGTATTGGTTTTGATAAGGGGCGGGGAGGGTAATGTTAAACCAAGTAGCCAAAAGTTAATAGGAAAAAAATCAACTATCAAAGATTCCAGATTTTTTAATGTTGCTGTAATAAATTAAATTAAGTCCAACCACCGTTTGGGAAGAAAGAGCTGGTGCCTCAGTTTTATCTATGCTACCATTTCATTCTTCCCCATATGTCACAATTTCTTTCTCTGATGTATCCCTTATACAACCTCTCTAGCATCTATTTAGTTCAGGCTCTAAACTTCTTAAACGTGCGTATCATAGTATCTCTAGTAGTCAACTGGTTTCAAACTGCAGTCTGAGTACCAGCGTTAGAAGTATTTAGGATGCTATGGAGATGTGCTGTCTCCTGGACCCATACACTGTACAATATAAAAACTGTAGCATGAATCCTATGTGGAATCCTATATGCTCTGGTATAGGCTTTAAATGCTCAAAAAGAAAGAACGTATGTCTAAAAACTTAAAAGCAGGCTAATACAAAGAAAGGAAATCTAGGGCTCTATCATTTAAATCTTATATGGACTTACAAAATTTATGTAGTAATAGAAAAATAAATACATTTCTAAACGATTGTTACAGTGTATGTCTGTAACACAATTTGCAGGGGTTTGCCTCTATACTTGGTGACAAGCACCTTTACTCGCTAAGCTTCTGTCCCACCTAGTTCCCTTCATCATATTTCTCCAGAAAAATTGCGTTTCCACAAAAAACAAAACCAAAAACCAGGCTCTTTCGGACTTGAAACTATCCTCGAAGCTGAGACTGCTTCAGAGATGCTCAGACCATGGGTTTGCCAGGCAGGTAAATCCCAGTACCATCTCTGGACAGCTTGGTCAGAGGTCCAGCCCACCAATGACTCTCATGGATAGACCGGGAACATGACGCCCCAGCCATTCTACGCCTGCGCATTCAGTCAGTCAGAGAGGGCGGAGCCAGGGCCGGATACAAATTGCTTTGGGCGGGGCTTAGGGTCAGCTCACCCGTGGTGCATCTGGGCTTACGGCGGAAGCAGCGGTATGGAGTGGAATGTTGAAAAGGGACCCGGTTCTCTTATGTGGGAGGGGCTTAGGGAATAAAACGGAAGCATGAGGCGGGCTTAGGGAGGGATTCGGAGCTATAAGACCAAGCCGGAAACTGGCGACATAGGTGGGGCTTAGGGTTCGTTGCGCCTGCGCACAGAGTAACCGGCGGGCTGCGTAGTTACTTTTGAACCGGGTGGCGGGGAATAGCTGTAGACGCCATTAGGGCGCCGACTGCGGTGAGGTTGATAGTGTTCTCCGTTCGATCTAGTGATGGCACAGCAGCTCGCCCGGGAGCAAGGCATCACCCTGCGTGGGAGCGCAGAAATCGTGGCGGAGTTTTTTTGTGAGTGCTGAGCGCGGCTCCCGCCGCCAAAGAGAACCGCCTGGGCCGGGCCTTAGGACGCGCGCTAGGACAGAACCACCCGATCCTCCCGGGGGCGGGGAACGCTGCGCCACCCGGCGCAGGCCTGGGCCTCCTGGAACCTAGCGGGGCTGACCTGGGTCATCATCTCACTCGCCCTTTGAAAGCTGGGGTCTGTGTTGACATCCTCTGACCACATAGTCTGTATTTACACTTAACAACCCTGCGAAACTCGACATTGCTGAGTTAAAGGTTTTCTGTGTCGTTTTGTGCCTACTCTGCTTTCTGGGAGACTTAAAAACGTTAGTACACGTTTACGGCTTTATTTCTTTCGTTTTCAGCATTTGGCATCAACAGCATTTTGTATCAGCGTGGCATTTATCCGTCGGAAACATTTACTCGAGTGCAGAAATATGGACTCACCTTGCTTGTAACTACTGACCCCGAGCTCATAAAGTATCTCAATAATGTGGTGGAGCAGCTAAAAGGTACTCACGTTTTGAGTTTTACATCTTACAGGTTTGCATATGTAAGTGTCCTAAGTAGCTTAAAGCAACATGCCTTCTCAAATGTGATTCTGAACTGGGAGGAAGCAAGTAACGGAGGGAATTCCCAACTCTCTGCTTTTTAAGTACACTGAATGTCTTGATATTAGGAATCTTAAAGATGCTTTAGGAATAGGTTTTGTAGGTTAACCAGGTGCAACAAATTAGAAATTTTACCCAATTAAAATGATTTGATCTTTCTGTGTTTTGCTTTGTAGCTCCCAATGTAATCATACAAAATACCAATTCTAAAAGCATTGCAACTGCTTTTTTTTTCTCTATGAGTTTTACCTTATGTGTATGGGTTTGTTTTAATTGTAATTTCATTATAGTGTTTGTTGCATGTTTTTGTTAACTTAAGCATTAAAATGGCCTTTTGGTAACCACCTGAACATGGTTAGCTTGATATCTCTCTTTAAGGCCATTTTGTTGGTTTTGTTTTGCTTCTCTTTGTTTTTGAGACAGATCTCTTTATGTTGCTTTGGCTGTCTTTGAACTTGCTATGTAGATCAGGCTATTCTTGGCTCTACTCCCAAGTTCTGGAACTAAAGGCATTTGCTACTGTGCCCAGCTTAAGGCCATACTTCTAAACATTGCCTTGCAGTTTGTATCCATAATAGAGTATGGACACTTGTGCAGGTTGGTTATGAATTCACAGGCAAAAAAGACAGGGTTTATAAACATAAGATCTGCTTTGAATTCTGGTATCTGTGGCTCCCCTTTTACCCTCTCCAGTTCACTTAATACCAAGGATGATAGTTTAGAAACACAAGGTCACTCTGCTTAAAACACAGTTGTGGCTTGCTTTCCTGATTCTTAAAAGTATAGTTTCATTAACTTAACACATAACATTTTATATGGTATAGCATCGTGACTTTTTTATAATTATGTAATTTATTTACTTTATTAAAAAGAATCTACTTTGCAATTAATCTGTGCATATATATATATGTGTGTGTGTATATGTGTGTGCGCGTGCATGCCTTTCCTTTAAAGCCTGTATTTGCCTCTCCTTTGTATAGTTAATGTAAAAACTAATCCTTCCCTCACCTACCAGAGTAGTCAGATTTTTTTTTCTGCCCTTACAGTATCTCTGTTGTGAACAGCCACCACAGATGTGACTGACAGTGGTTAGATTAAAGCCTGTGTCCTCTGCTCTTATTGTGACTTGCAGTGAATGTGCAGATTCACTGCTTTGTGCTGCTTCGGCTTCCACCTATTAGTAAATGTGGAGAATTTAAACATTGTTTAAACATTGGCTAAATTATTAGTGGAGAATTTTCTTCCTTATGTATGAAAAGAAGTCCAAAATACCACTGTAAGAACTTCGGAAGGTAGAAAAGTGGCTCTTGAGAAGAGAGTCTCTGTCATAGGTTAGCCTGTAAGAGCTGTCTTGTGTGTTGCAGAGTGGCTGTACAAGTGCTCAGTTCAGAAACTGGTGGTGGTCATCTCAAATATTGAAAGTGGTGAGGTCCTTGAAAGATGGCAGTTTGATATTGAGTGTGACAAAACTGCAAAAGAGGAAGGGTAAGTATGAACTGAATTATTCCTGCTTTATGTGTTTTTATAACTTGTTGCATGAGTTCACATTGTATTGAACAGATTTCTTACAATTACTGTCTATGGTGTATTTTTAAAGATACTTTTGTTAGTTTGTGAGGGATTTCTGAGTTCCTCATAGCCTGTCAGGGATTGTGTAGATAAGATGCTTTTAGCATACTGTCTTTGGGAGAACTCTGAGATTTGACCTTCATGTTTGTGGTTATACTCGAACCTCTCACAGTATAATATATGGACCATTTAATCACTGGCTTAAAAGTACTGTTAACTACAGGAGATGATCCTAGACTCGTTCCTAATTTAGATGGAGCTCTACTGTACTTGATCAAATGCCATGAACTTTGTAAACTGAAGATTGCAAGCACTCTACATCAGAAATGCTTATTATGCTAAGCATATGCTTCTGTAAGTTACCGTAATGAAGAGCAGTTTGTTTCTGAAGTCTTTGATCTATAGGAAGTCAATAGCTTATAAAAACATTTGTATGTAGTTTATTTTGCTTGTTTCAATCAGAAATTGGGTATTTAGATGTTACAAATGCCAAAATTTAGGCTGGAGAGATGGCTCAGTGTTTGGGAGCACTGGTTAGGGGACCCAGGTTCAATTTCCAGCAGCCACATGGTAGCTTACAACACTCTGTAACTCCAGTTTCAGGGGATCCATGGCAACAGGTATGCATGTGGTGCACAAATGTGCATGCAAGCAAAATGCCAAAGTTCTACTAAGTTTATTTGTTGGAATCCATTTTCATTTATATTAAAAACTCACTGAAAATATGGTTACTGAGCGTGGTTGGGAAACATGCTATTCACCATGCACTGAATGACCTGATACTAAAGGATGATGGGGAAGGACAGATGCAGTAACCCAGGAATATCTTTAGCCATGACTCTCTAGTCTCCTAATGTATTGCAGCTGTGTGTTGGAAGCATTTTGTTCAGATAGTTACCAATGTGTTTTAATTAACTTAATGAAACCTAGAATGGATTATTTCTTTGATTCTTTTATAGTGTTCGTAGAGAAAAGTCCCAGAAAGCCATACAGGATGAAATCCGTTCAGTGATCAGACAGATTACAGCTACTGTGACATTTCTGCCACTGTTGGAAGTTTCTTGTAAGTATTGTACAACCACTTGACTTAAATTTGTGGGAGAAAATGTACACTACTGTTACATTTGTTAAATCTCTTAATTTATCATTGCCTTGTAACATAAATTGGATATGGGAAGCAGAATACAGCACAAATAAAAAGATGTATAACCAGAAACTGTCCAGTCAAGGACTGAGGGGATGGCTCAGTGATTAAAGTATTTGCTTAGCAACTATAAGGACCTGAGTTAGGATTCCCACCACCCGGATCCTCCAGATGGTTGTAATGGCTCAGCTATAGCTCTAGCCCAGAAAAGCTGGAATAGGATCATCAGAGCAATCTGGCTATCAAAACTATTCCTATTGACAAGCTCTCAGTTTGCTTGAAAAGCTGCTTAGTGAATAAAGTAAAAGAACCACCATTATTTTGGGGACTCAACATGTGTGTTCTATACATACACAAGAAAATGAAGGGAAAAAAATGAAAATGCTAAAGAAAAAGTAAACAATACTTTTGAAAAATTTCTCACAATTTTACTACTTTTATTTTCTACTAGGAAATATAATGCTCTGTTCTACACCCAGTTTCTATCGAGGAAAATAATCATTAGACCAGGCTGAGCTACCTTTTTTAGCAAGAGGTGGTTCAAAGTGAGTCCCAGTGAGAGAGGTAAGGAGGACAGCTTTACTGTTGGAAAGTTCTGTACTTTACTCTCATTCCCAACTCAGGTTCATTTGATCTGCTGATTTACACTGACAAAGATTTGGTGGTACCTGAAAAGTGGGAGGAATCGGGACCCCAGTTTATTACCAATTCAGAAGAAGTCCGTCTACGCTCATTTACGACCACAATCCACAAAGTGAATAGTATGGTGGCCTACAAAATGCCTGTCAATGACTGAAGAGACGGTGAGGAAAAGAATGGAATTGTCATTTCTCAAGCGTGTTTTTCCAGAAACTAAGTCAAATATAGTTGATACATTTTCTTGTTTAATTTTCAGGTGAAGAAAACCAAGATCCAGTGTTAATAAATGTGTTTTATTGTGCCATTTCTTGGGTTCCTCCTGGACTTGGCAGAGTCAACAAGAGTATTGCACATTATTAAGGGAAACAATAGATTTCGTTAGCATTGTGGAATGAATTTCTTTAAAAATGGTCATTGTACATAGAAAAACACCTGTTAAAATGCTAAATACTTCCCCTAACAATTTAGCTAGACCAGGATATAAAGAGGCATTTAAATGTAAATACAGCAGAAGGGATCAAAGCTCTTTTTCTGAGAGTCAGTCATGATGCTGCCAATCTGGATCCATTGAGAGGAGCAGGGAGGATAACTTTACTGTTGAAAAGTTCTGTACTTTACTCTCATTCCCAACTCAGGTTCATTTGATCTGCTGATTTACACTGACAAAGATTTGGTGGTACCTGAAATGTGGGAAGAATCGGGACCCCAGTTTCTTACCAGTTCTGAAGAAGTCATCTATGCTATGCTCATGGAATGTTGGAAGAATCAGGAGCCCAGATTCTTACCAGTTCTGAAGAAGTCCATCTACACTCATTTATGACTGCAATCCACAAAGCGGCCTACAAAACCCTGTCAAAGACTGCAGAGATGGTGCACAAACCATCCCCTATCACATAATACCTTCTGCTGTATTTATATTTAAATGCTTCTTTATATCTTGGTTAAGATTCTTCCAAGCTAAATCATTAGGCAAAGTATTTAGCTTTTTAACAGAAGTTTTTGTATGTACAGTGACCATTTTTGAAGGAATTTATTCCACAATGGATCTGTTGGTTCCCCTTAATAATGTGCAGCACTCTTGTTGATTATTCTATGGTAAGTCCAGGAGGAACCCAGGAAATGCAACAATAAGACACATTTCTCTTTATATAGACCCCATATTGAAATACATGCTAATTATTGATTTTGGTGTATATATCTTGAATTCACAAAGTAGTTGTACTGTTTAATTTCTGTAATAAAGAAATTATTTTAATGTTTTATAAAAATCAAGCTTTAAATGACAGTGATAAAAAAATTAACCCTTGTGTTTTAATTTGTGTTACAGTATGTTTGATATTTAGTTTGGTGGTAATACAGTCAGATACTTCAATGGATTGAGTTCATGGATTGTGTTCATTTTGATTATGTGATGAGGATGGTTTTGTGCACTGTAAATTCAGATGCTTCTTGCTGTGCCCAGAGATCCAGTTGCAGTCCTGATGCTGCCGTTGTCATGTTAGTAGACCAGTAGCATAGCCGAGTTAGAATACATGAGAACACTGCCCAGTTATAGCTCAAGAAGCTTGTAATAAAAATACCATGTCTCTGTATCATTTATTTGGGAACAAGGGTGGTGTAGAAAAGCCTCCAAACTTACTTTTAGATTTGGTAGCACTTTATTATTAACCAAGCAGATGTGATGGAAAACAATCTTTACACATCAGTGAGATAAGTGATGCTCCAAATACCATGACAGTACCAACGTCCAGACTGCAACCAGATCTCGGCATAGCAATCAGCATCTTAATACACAGTCCACAAAACCACCCCCTATCGACTACATGCTACCTTCTTCATCACAACAGTGCAGTTAATGTGAAGACGCAAATGTCCTCTGAAGTTAGTTCAAACATTTGGCTGTATTGTCAGGCTCATGTGTCTTGTGATCTTGAGTACCAAGCTTAATCCTCTGCTTCATTTCTACTCTTAATAGATGTTTTGGTTCTAATTTTCCAACATTTAAATTTTAATTAAGCACACATCTATTTGGAATTATAGGCCAAATATTTCCAACTAACTTCCAAAAAAGCTCAGCCTGACTCCTTGACTTTAAAAATGTGTATTTAAATAGTATAAAATCTCTAAGAGGTATGAAATGTTTTCAGTTTTATTAACAACTTATAAGAATGTGATTTACAGATATTATAGAACCTCAAAATTATTAGGCGTCCATTCCAGTAGAAAGACAGGGCATCGGTTGCCATCCCACAGTCAAAAATTCAGACCTAGAATTGTTCCTGTCTAAAAACTGCAGGGATAAAAGTGGAAAAGAGACTGAAGGAAAGGAGGTATAGTGACTGGTCCAACTTGGGATTCATCTATGGTGTGCTTACAGACAGGAGCCTAGCATGGCTGCCCTCCAAGAGGCCCAACAAACAGCTGACTGAGACAGAAGCAGATACTTTACACCCAACCAATGGACAGAAGCTGGGCAACCCTGTATTTGAATTAGAGAAAGTCTGGAAGAAGTGGAGGAGGGCCACCCCATAGGAAGACCAGCAGTCTCAACTAACCTGGACCCCCAAGATCTCTCAGACACTGAGCCACCAATCAGGAAGTGTACAGTAATAAGAGGTCCCCGACAGCAGAGAACTGCCTGGTGTGGCCTCAGAGAAGATGCACCTAATCCTTGAGAGATTTAAGGCCCCAGGGAGTGGGGAGGCCTGGCATGGTGAAGGGGTGAGGACATGCTCTTTGAGGGGGTGCGTGGGGTGGGATGAGGAACTGTCAAGACTGGGAGGGGAATAACAACTGGACTGCAAAAAGTGATTAAAGATAATTTTCAAACAGAAAAGACCATGGCAAGGCCTGAAGTTACATAAGCTAGAAGATCTACTAAAATGTGCATTAGGGCCGTGTAATGGTTATTCCTGGTTGTCAATGTGACTATATCTGGAATGAACTACAATCTAGAGTTGGAGCACAGACATGTGATCCAGATCCTGAGACATAGCGTCCATGAAAAGCTTAGGCCCAGGCAAGGTAGTATATGCCTTTAATCCCAGGAGATTCACACAAGGAGATCTCTTGAGTTCAGTGACAGCCTGGGACAGCAAGTCTCAGATCCAGGCCTGGTGGTACACATCTTTAGCCTTGACCACGCCTGCTGGAGGCCTACTAGATGAGGACATTGGAAGAAGGAAGATTTACTCTTGACTGCTCCCACTTACTTACCAACACATCTGTTAGAACCTACTTCTATAGAAGACCACTTAAGATAGATTCTTGGACTTCCCATCCACAGCTGCCGATTGTTGAGTTAGTTGGACTACAGACTATAAGTCATCACAATAAATTCCCTTAATATATAAAGACATTCCATAAGTTCTGTGACTCTAAAGAACCCTGGCTAATACAGAGCTTCTTATTCACTGTGTTTTATTGTTTTGAGTTTTTCAAACATTTTTTTTCAAAATGTTACTTTGTTCACTTACTATGCATTTTTCTCCTGGCCAAGGACTGATACGCTGATTCTGTTTTCCAGCTTTTGTCAGCAGAGGGAAGCCAAAAACTTGTCAGGAGTTTAGTCACTTTCACTTTTTTTTGTGAAGACCATAAAAAAAGTAAGTTACTGGAAAATTGGGGGCTTCAGAGTCCCAGAAGCAGCAGGGAAGTGTCCCAGAGTACAGTGAATTGGCACAGGCTAGACAGAGCACTGAGTAGAAATATACATAGTCATAGTTTTCCATAGAGAGAAGTAGACCTTCCCAGCATCTGCAGTTTTCACAGTTAAGTCCCTCCTGTGGAAAGCCCAAGGTTTGAGGTCCTTAAAGAAGCAGGAGTCTGTCAATCAACGGAGCTGCTGCAAACTCAGGCCTGGGGTTGAGAACATGCTGACATCAGTGGTCCAAAGGTTCACAGCCAGTGGGGTAGGGGTTGGAGGATGCTCACCAAAGACAAGCAAACTTGCTTCACGTGTAGATATTTTTTCTATTAGTCCAGAAGAAAATAGAAAACTAAACATTGGCTGTTTGAGAATTTGCAACATCTCTCCCAACTCAGCCTCCCAAGGCTGAGATTGCAGGCACAAACCACCACACCTTAGTACTTCCTGCTTTCTGATACAATCAATTTAAATTGATAATGCTGTACTGTTATTTCCACCATTCATTCCCACATATTTCATCTTGTAAAACTATTTCTGGAACTGTTAGTTCCTGGTGCTTCTCCCTGAATCATGTAGCTGATTTTCTGTCTCTGTGACTGTTTTAAGTATCTTTCACAAATTAAATCTTTATATTAGTCACCTCTTGTCTGTTTTATTATCCCGATGTCCTCAGGGTTACCCATACAGTGTATTTAAGAATTCTGTTTTGAATGAGCAATATTATCCTGTGTGGGTTTAAGTCATACTTTATCTGTTTATCCATCTGTGGATGCTTGGGATGTTTTCATGTTTCAGCTAGTGTGAGTATTGCAGTTGTGACTGGATGTACATATATTTAAGTCTATGCTTTTAATCATTTGGGGGATATAACCAAATACATTGCAGGATTATATAAAAATTCTGTTTTTCAATTTTTTGAGGAACCAACATACTGTTTTCTGCAATGGCAGTTGAGGATAGTCGTGTCTCACAACATAGCCAATTTATACATACATTCTAGTTTGTTTATTTGTACTGTCTAATATATACATTACTGCTGGTAAAGGTTTTAAAGCCTCTTGCTGGTATTGTTCTTTGAAGCCCTTCCAGCTCTTAACTGTTGTAGCATGTGTCCTATTGGTCGGCAAGTGTTTATGGTTGATATGTCTCCTTTCTGTACTGACTCTGTAAAATATACCCTTTGTGTTTTGTCTTTCTGATTGCAAGTCTTTCAGCCATCTTTGCTCTCTTCTGGTTGCACTATACCTGAAATGTTTTCATCCTTTTGGTTTTCTGCTTGTGTCTTTTCATTCAAAAGTTTGGCTGGTGTGGTATTTCCTGTGCTCCCTACTTCTCCCAAAACCCCCTCTCTCCATAATGACATTGGAGAGAAATTCAGCATTAGCTATTAGGTAAACTAATTAGTAATTAGTAAGGAGGGTGGCATCAGAGTACTTTGTTTTTAAAAGCACACACTTTAAATCCTAGCATTCTAAAAGATCTCTGGGAGTTTAAGGCTAGCTGAGCTACATACAAGACCCCATGTCTCAAAAAGTAAAAAGTAAATAAATTAAAATGTAAGCCTCAGCCATAGTCTGGGCCAATTATAAAAATCACCTGATAACACCTTTTAAGAATGCAGGTTCCCTGGATCTGATAAATCATCTAGACTTGTGGGGTAGGAGGTGGAGTCCCTGAAAATTCCTGCAAGGGACTTTTAATGCCTAGCAGGACTTATTAGTAGTGAATAGATTCTAGAAGTACAGGAAGTTCCTAGCCTCTCTGAAAGGCAGATCATACGAGACTGGGCCTGCAATAATCTGGAACGGGGAAAGATACAGAGATGAAACTGCTACCTAGCATTTCTGACCTTAAATGGGTCCTTGGACACTTGACATGAGAGCAGTGTTACCCATTGAGCTTGTCCCTGTACAGGTTGTTCTCCCTGTACAAAATGTACTTAATTGGAGGCCCAAAGTTTAAACATAAAACTGTAAATTACCAGAAAGCATAGTAGAAGCACTTTACAGTATTGGTGCTGACGTTAGTTTCTGGACAGGACTCAGGGCATAGGAAATAACAGCAGAAGCTCACAAATGGCATTGCCTCCAACTAAAAAGCACAACAAAGAAAATAAACACCACAATAAAAAAGCCACCCTACAGATTAAAATATGTGTCTGTTTATTTGGGTAGAAATTCCAACAGTTGGTTTTAATGACAGCTTGCAGAAAAGAGTCACCTGAGTAGGACCTCAATTGAGCAATTAATTGATATGGGATGACACATCCCAAATGTGGGTGGCACCTTTAGGTAGCCACACAGATAAAAAGGGGTTGACAAAAGATTATATTGTTGCTATGGCTGATTTTTGTTTGTTTGTTTGTTTATACCAAAACCATTGTTTCAGGGTTTTCAGTGCTGAATTGGGCCTGCTGAAGCATCCAGGTCCCATGCCCTGAGTTGTTTTCAGCCTCTCCAGTTGAGAGAGCCATTGTGTGACTGCTCACACTGCTCGCCACCCAGTCTCCTGGACCAAACAACTGCCAGGTTCTTGGCCTCCCAAGTGTGATTGAGCTGTTAATCTTTCAAAGTAAGCTGATTCAATAAACTTTAATGTGTATGTTATGTGTATACACATTTTTTTTTTATTCTGTTGGTTCTGGTCCTCTACAGAGCCTTAGCTAGCACAGAAGTTTAGTATTCATAATGTATAAAGAACTTGCAAATTTTAACAAGCATTATTATAGTTTTTGTTTGTTTGTTTGTTTTTTATAATTTATTTTTTCTCAAATCGTAATTCAGTCACACAGGGGTTATAAAACACAGAAAGGCAGGATGTGGGGAAGGAAATGACACTGGAGTGTGGGTGTTCAGGGGGAATACAGATATCTTCAGAACTGGGTATCCTCTGGGTGAAGGTTCAGGGGACAAGTCACTATGACTCTGC